ATCATCATCATCATCATCATCATTATTATTATTATCATTATTATCAAAGCATTACCTTGTCCGTCTTCAAACGTCTCCATGATTTGTTCATCCATGTCGCCGTCTCTGGATTCCAAGTAAGACGCTGGTACCCAGCCCAATTCCCCATCAAGATCAACGAACCACCAGCCTGGGAACGAGTGACATTATGAGATAGATCATAGCTAGGAAGCCATCCAACCAAGACAACTATGATTGGTTAGAATGCGAGGCTCATGACAAAAGCGTTGGACACCAGAAGTTGATATTTTCTTTCTTATTAATAAAGATAAAAGCTTTCGGTAGTGAAGCTAAAGACCGTCCATATTAAATATACCCTTCCATACATACCATGATCAGCCTTGTAGATGACCTCCACAATGTCACCCGCTTTAAGATTCAAGTCATTCTTGTTCATCCTGGTGTAATCACTGATAGCTACGTACTGATCCAACAGGATGGGTTCAGATATGTGAAGAGGGTCTAGTAGAAACAAATTAAATACTACATCATGCATTACAAACATTGCATTGGATACAACATATATTGACCGGAATCCAATTCAAACAGGACAGAGGAGACGGGCTTTTGACTTCAATGGCTGCGCGAGCAGTACAAAGTACTGGTACATAATTCAGCGACGACAAGATTCTTTGAGCCAATCACAGTGCGAGAGCCTGATCACCGCCAGCCAATGAAAATGCTTGAACCATCAGTCAGCAATTGCTCGGTCATTAATGTCAACTTACCGTTTTTTTGTCTCGTTCCTTTTGCTTCTTTTAAGCTTTCTTCGTACCTGTGAATCAGTAACAGAGATATAGTACAATATTTACAGAATCCTCTAGACACTATCCTGGAAATAATCGAGGCTATAACAGAAATAGAACAGGAATAGAAAAGAGATATCTCACATTCTATTGTGAAAACTATGATTTGCGGAATATTTATTCTAATCAATCGCTCAGGAATTTCAGGATAGTTTAGAATGAGGCAATTCTAAAGGCAAGAAGCACAACTCTTGAGCAAGTCATGTTGTCTGTCTGTCTGTCTGTCTGTCTGTCTGTCTGTCCACATATATCGTGCGAGTCAGTTTTATTACGTACTCATTACTTACTCACCTCTCGGGGTCGACAAACATCAGGTCATCAGGGACAGGCCTGAAGAAAGTAACTACGACATCAGCCATAGAAATATGGCTTGGAAGATGAACTATAGACTGTGGAATATGACATACACACTATTGAATCTTAATTTCTTCATCATTAAAAACAGATTATTGAATGAATACCTTGAGAAATTCTTCCACTTCAACCATCCTTCGCCTTGCTTGTTTACTTGTCTTGATGGTTACCTTACCAAACAAACCTTTATCTGCACATGAAAGGATGACGTATTGGAACCAAAGCCATGCATTACCATAACCAAGGCAAACAAGTATGTACCGTGTAGTTTTATTATCATTCCCACCCCCCTTTTCGTTACTTTTCATTCATTTTTCATTCTCTTTTTTCCACTAGTTTTCCTATCGTTTAGTTCATACTCATCAATTCCAGGTCTTTTTCCCTTTCCCTCTTTTCTTTTCATCTTTTCCCTATAGTTTACTCCTCCGTGGATCCTTCATTTCACCATATCCCTGTTACCTTGGAGTGAATATCCATTCCTGTATTCAGCTGCTTCATTGTTGAGGTAGGAATTGAATTCGTCCATCTTTCGAAGCTTGTCCTTGAAAGAAAAAATATTAACAGTATATAGATAATTATGAAATACAAAATCACAAGCAAGTAATTAAATGGGAATCAAGGGATTCACACTGAAATGGTTTTCTACAAAGTCTCTTTTTTTAGGCAATGTGCCTACCTATCAAAAGATTGATCGAAGTTTCTCTATAATACCAGGAGGTCACTAGAATACACTAAAATACACTGTAATGGGTTCTATAAAGAGAACACTGTAATGGTTTTCTATTGACGATGCGTCTGTTTATTAAAAGATTGACCGAAGTTTCTAATACACTAAAATGGGTTCTATAAAGAGAACACTGGAATGGCTTCCAGTGATGAGCTAGTAGTTGATTGTTTACCTGTAGATTGAGAGCGTCGTCATAGCTACGGTAGATTCGTATTATTAGGCCATCTTTCCACTCAACTTGAATCGAGAAAACCTTGATTGAAAAAAATCAGGCATCTTATTAATCAGTTGCTATAGCAACGATAAGGAAGTGAAAATACTTACAAAATGTTTTTTGCGTGATTTCTGTTTGACGACTCGCTCGACTGTTATGTCACTTACTGCACTCAGACTCATCCTTTGAAGTTAGAATAACTAATTCAAATAAAAAAAACCCCAACAAATATATTAAGTCGTATCAAATATTGGATGGAATCCAACATGGCGGCGATGACATCAAACAGGTACCAAGACATTTGACGTCATAGATCAAGCCTGCCTGGCTAAACCTTATAATACCCTAAGAATGTTTCAAATAATCTAGTATCGTACTAGGATAATATAAGTAGAAAAGAAAACTGTTTCAGTTTCGCATCACATGCGTATTGTTAAGCTCACTGTATACGCACTATATCTAGTTATAGGTGCTCTTGTTTTTATTCTTCAAGCGAACATTCATCGAGTTTTTTCTGCTCAAGTGTAATATAATTTATGCTGGTCTTTTGAAAAACTTATTATGACTCGTTCTATAGAATGTAAAGCTGGTATTGTTTTTGGTACGGATGTCAGCTGTGCTGTATGAATTATATTACACAGGAGAGAGATAACCTAAAGTTAACCTAACTCTAACCTAAAGTTTCTAATATGATGTAGCTGACTTCCTCGTAGAACCCTCTAGTTTTGAAGCTTTGAATCTTAATTTTTCTCTCTAAAATAATAACAAAACCCTTGAAAAATAAACATTACTTACAGACCAATTCAACAGTAGAACTGAGTAGTTTCTAGTAGCAGAAAGTACTCGGTTTTGCCTGATTAACATGCTTGCAAGAGTACGCTGTTTAGCTAGTATTTTACAATCTAATTACTTTGTAATCAACCGGCTGCTGCAACGAACAACTTCAGTTTCAGTTGTCAACAAGTTGCTTTTTCATAATTGGATCGAGATTATATTGTAAGGAATGGGCTTGTTATTATACAAACGGAATTCTACCAATACCAAAACTACTAAGTACTTACTTTGATTGTTGTCAGTAAACTTGATGTAAGCATTTAGCACTAAACTTGAATTTTTGGTAGTTTCTTAACTTACTTCTCCATGAGCTCTTTCTCCGTGAGAATGATTTTAAATTCAAGTTATTGCCTAGTTTTTACAAGAAAAATTGTTTCTTGAGTAAATATAGTTATTTGAAGCAAAATGTAAACTGCAGTGCAAGAGAACTTGATTAAAATACGCGCTGAGTTCAAACCAATGTTTACAATAATTCGCATAACAAAAGCATTACAAGAACAATAGAATGTGATGACCTCACCACTGACTCGATCAGACGCTAGGGGCGTTTTTGAAAAACCTTTACAAATCAAAACTAAAAGCTAACTTTTATTAGTAAATATTTTGTATAAATGTTTGAATTCCAATAGTTCTCCATTACCAAGTCACGCATCGTCGAGCCAACTCGCTGAAGACTTTAATGGTTTCTTCAAAATAAATAAAATAAATCACTTTTTATTTAAGTGTCTAGTCGTTCTAGCGCTTTCGCACTAATTGGGGACACTTTTCACTCACACGCACTACCACTATATTTAGTATTCTATGCACACAACGCTCAACTCACATGTTGATTTTTATGGAGGGAGGAAACCGGAGAACCCGGAGAAAGCCCTCGTAGCATAGGAGAGAACAACACATCAAACAAACTCAATTCACATGTGGCGACCGCAACGCTCGAACCGGCGACCCGACCCTTGGATTCACAGCGGTGAAAGACGACGCGTTAGCCGCGAACGCCACCCATGCTACCCATAAATTAATTATGCTACCCATAATTCATTAAACGTATAATTGACATCAGAACTAATTTAGCTCCAGTCTCTGGCACAGCACTGTTCAACGACGACACTTAAATAGATACAAGAGGTTCTTAAAGCACTCACCAATAAATCTATAGTAAAGACCTACTCTTCCATCCTGGCTCCTGTTATGGCTGACATAGTGACCACCTCATTGACAACTGGCAAATTTCCATCTTCCATCACAAGAAATCACTAATTCGTCCAAAACTCAAAAAACCTGACCTCGATAAAGATCTGCTGAAGAACTACAGACCTCTAGCCAACATTCCATTCTTGGCCAAAGTAATTGAGAAAGCTGTTACCATACCAGACATATACCTATCAGAACAATTCCAATCTATTTCCCACTTTTCAATCGGCCTATATAGAGGACTACTGCTCTTTTACGAATAACTAATGACATTTTATAACGCACTCGACTCTGGCTCTGACGCATAATTGGTGTTATTGGATCTGTCGGCAGCCTTCAACACACTCGACCACAATATACTACTAAAACGCTTGGAAACCAATTATTTTAATTTTACTGGAACTGTCTTGGAATGGTACTCATCATATCTTACAGTAAGAACACAATCAGTCATGATCCAGTCATCATCATCATCTCCAAGACACATCGACTTCGGAGTCCCACAAGGATCTATATTAGGATGTTTATTGTTTATCCTATGCATATAGCTCCTCTTCAAGATGTAATGTCTTCATTCAACGTAAACTACATGTTCTATGCTGACGACAACCAACTGTATATATCAGTGAACCCTAATGACATGCAAACATCGCTAAATACTCTTCACGACTGTATACAATCTGTTTTTAAATGGAACACAAAAAATTTGCTCTGCACTAATCCGACGAAGACAGAAGTCATTTATTTCACCTTAAAATTCCAGAAATAAACAATTTCCATCAACACATTTAACATTGGCAAAACTGATGTATCAATTTCTGATAAGGTAAAGAATCTTCAATTCAATCGATTGCAATCAATATTTACTAACGTTCATATTGCTTTTGTGCCGTCAGAAAGCGTAGCCTATTCGCCAGGCAAAAACGACCAAATCGTTAACCCTATCCCAGACTAAAATGATACCCTATCCCAGACAAAAATGATACCCTATCCCAGACAAAATGTCAAAAAAGGATACCCTACCCCAGACCCAAAAGCCGAATAACCATACCCTATAGGGCGGCACATACCCGTATAGCAAATATAGGGGAGTACCCCCCCCCCCCGGGATTAAAACCTGACTTTCAACAATCACATGAACGAAATTTGCCGAACAGCACAATTAACCTCCAGCGAGGATTTCGACTTAGATCGAAAGACACGTTCAGGGTAAGTAATCGAGAGTTCTGGAAAAACTATATATTTCACGTTTAAGTTCGTATCTTCTGCTGTTTTTGTCTGGGTGTTTCCCATGATTCTTGTCAACTGATCGCAAAACTTCGAACCTCTAAAAGCTTAAAGACTGCTCTCGATCTGGTGACCCTGCTTCGCGTACATCTAAGCACTTCCTCTTCAACTCGTCGTGACTTGACGCACGCAAACCGAACAGTCTCTTACCCAGAGCTCTTACTGCGCATGCTCAAAGACTGTGGGTTCTACGAGATTGGGTTGATGGAAAGTTGGCGCCTTTTTCAAACTACTAGCAAGGCACATGCACAGAATTCCGAGTAAACCTTTGGAATCCAAATTGGAATTTTACATAACTCAACATAASTTGTCCGCCCGACATTTCATAATGCTACAAATGAATAGCAATAAATTTGCCACGATTTCCCCTTTAACTTGCCGCGCAAAAAAATTTTGCAAGTTGTAAAAAGAACGTATTTACGTATTTCCACTTTTCATGCAACAAAAAAACGCAAAAACAAGTTGCAGGAACGTATGTCATACGAACGAAAATCATTGTTAWATCTGCAACACTGAGACAAGTTTAAAAGCACTTGCATGGCTTTCCCCTATAATGCCCAGTCCCAGCTCACTTAACCACARACACTCCACCAAGGACACACCAGGACTAAATGCACAGTCATTTTTGTTTTGAGTTCAGTTGTATTTTTTTCCTTCATCATTGGTCTACATGTACATCAAGCAAAAGGGTGTAAATCATATATTCAAATCATTGAATTAATTGTATGACATGTTCGTTATTATTACATTAAAACCTCTATTAAGTGTAACCTCTATTATATGGCATTTACCAAAATCSCAGTGATGGTTATAGACACTAGTTCATTAATACCAAATTAAGGTATTTATTGCTGGGGTAAATACTTGTTCTCTGCTTCCTTCAGTTCCTGGTCACCTTGAAGCCTGAATATCTCTTTCACTGGAGCAATCTAATGATAATAATAATAATATTCATAATTATTGTTATAATGTGCTTGTATTTCAAAAAAAAGTGGCCTTTTGATTGCATGGGGTGTTTAATGCTGATTCTGCATTAAATCGTCATGACTGATACAGCTGATCTGAAAGAGTGATGTGAAAATGAAGACACACATTGTAAAAACGGAGAAGCCTGCAAAAACTGAACAGCAACAGCTAAAAACGAGCCTGCCATTGCAAAACAACAGCAAGTAGAGTAAGATTTTTCTTCAAATAGTATTAATTCCATTCATACCTTGCCCTCCACGTTCACTAGTGATTGGTCATTGTATATTTGCTTGGTGGTCTGTTGCATGGCAGCAACTGATGCTCTCATGTTGTGATTGGCCCAGATGACTAAAGACACAYCAAGGTCACGGAAATGATCCATTGGAACTGTGTAATACTTGGTAGGCACAATTACTACGGGACCCTGAAAGTGATATAACAGAACAATATAATCTAAAGTCTATAAGATTTGGCTGTTGTACAGTGTATCACAGCATGGGACAATCAGAACAGAGCTAGGATTCAACTAGGTTAAAAGGAGTTGGGATAACTGAAGAACAGGGAGAAGAACCCTCAAAGCAYRGGAGAGAACCAACAAACAACTCTATTCACATATGACACTGAGCCTGGAGGGAATCAAACATGGGTTGCATTATTTGGTGAGAGGTGTGCGCTCTCACTGCTATGACACCCGTGCTTCCCACATCTTGACAAATACATCTTTTAAATTACCTGGTTCTTCCATGCTTTCATAAAGGCTTCAATATCAGAAGGATCAGATTTTTTGCTGTGCATAAGAATTGCATCAGCACCTGCATTACGGTATGCTTCRGCACGCTTCAAAGCTTCATCTAAACCCCATCCTGCAATAAAGGCTTCTACTCTTGCCACGATACAAAAATCAGGATCAGTCTGTGTATCTATGTGTATAAAGAACATTTAACCACTGTGAGAAACCTGGRAAGGAACATACGCATGGGGAACATGTGGTGTGTCCTGCAGTGTATATAGTGCAACAACTGTGCAATATAATACAACATAAATGAACTTTTCTTGCAACAAAACCATGCATGAATCGAGGCAAYCTGCTCGATTCTGTTCAGTTGTATGACAAAGCAATAATCATTAAGGCCCCGTACACACGAATCCAGAAATTTTTGAATCCGCAAATTTTTCTTGCAGATACGAGATTGTTCGCGTCCACTTGCAGCGTATTTGAATCRTCCATTGTTCACTGTACACACGTATCCAGAAATTTCTTGACCTGCCCTGATGCACGCTAGTGCCTAGTCCCTTTGATGGATAGTTTTTCTTATTGAGCATGCGCAAAATTCTGTTTATGTCAGTGTATTTGAAAATTTGCGGATACGACTGTCCACACGTATCTGTATTCGGGGCGTATTTGGAAATTTCCACTCTGTAGCCCATTTTAGAAAATTTCCGGATTGTCCAAGAACCAATTAATTGTGAGTGCCAAAAGTTTATTAGTGTTGAACACTATTTTGTGTTACTCTCTTTAAATAAAGTTTATTATTATAAATATTAGCATTCACAGGGAGTTATCATTGTATTAAAATCAATCACATTAATCAAATATGTACCTTTGCAAGCTTTAATTTTCAAAGAAAATTCTTCATTGTCAGCAAGTGGCTGTGCACGGCCATCCAAAAGTGAGTTAGTCTTTGGAAAAAGCTTGTCTTCCAAACAAGCTCCTGCTATGCCCCTCATCTCAAGCTTTCGAACCAATCGTCTTGCATTATTGAAATTACCATAACCAGTGTCGGCATCCAGAAGAATAGGAATATCAGTTGCATCGCTCATGAATTCAAGAACATCTACCACTTGTGTCCAAGATGCTTCATTACTGTCACGTACTCCTAATTGTGCTGATACAGATAAACCACTACCCCAGATACCTTTAAAACCTAGAAATATAATTGTAATGTAGTTATAGTGTGATTTGGGGTGATATGACAAGGAATGTTATGAAATTGTACTAAATACAAAGATAACATAGTTTTTGGTTCTACTTCCACTCTGTGGTCAGCAATGTTTCGCACATGTTGCAATGTGYGTGTGAGCCTCAATAATACCAATATTGAAACTTTGGGAATTGTGTCTAACATTATCCACCACCTAATTAAGTGCTATATATATATATTCATTATAATTTTACCTTCTTCAGACTCAAGCCCCTTCCCTTCCCCTGGGGGCCCTCCCCTCTGTGAAGGGAGTTTTGCAACACAAAAAGCAACATTTCAACAAACCTAAATGGGATTACAAAAGTTATTTTAATGAGAGTTTTGTTATTTATTTACAGTGTTGTCCATTATCCTCATACCTGCTTCTTGTACTATCTTAGCGCTAAGCCCATTATGAGCCTCCATTATAAACTCTAATTCAGGGGATTCTAACATTGATCTGAGCTGTGTTGTTTTCTGGCAACAAAGAAAAAGTAAAAGAATTACCTCAGCATTACCCCGCAACACCCTTCCAGGTATCCTTGATGCTTTTCTGCTACACATGTCTATGGGTTTATGAACAAGAACTAGTCTGTCTATTAGTGCCACCTTCCATATTCCCTCCAGCATCTTGCCAATGATCCCCTCCAGTAGTCAAAAAGTAAAAATTTGCATCCCAATCCATACCCCACCCCCTTGGTAGGGTGCTCTGTGGTCCTTGCAGAACCTTCCATGTTTACATTAGTCAGTTACTAGACTTGAAGGGAACAATACATTTTACAAGGAAGCATACCTTTGGTATATTTGTGCTTGCACATCTTCTGCTAAGTGCAGCTGTTAAAAGAAACATGTATGTTACTCTAGATGTTACCAAACCACACCCCCTCCCCAAGACATGTCTGTTTTATACTGTTACAAAGTTCAGTTAGTAGAAATTTTCGATTTCTTTATCTAATAATTTGTTGCCTCTTTTCTTTGAAAAAAAGAGATGTAAGAAGAAAGATATGTAAGGAGAATTCAAAATAGAAATGTGTTGCATCGACCCCCAAAAAAATTAACATGCCTGCAATATATATATGAGGAGTATGTACCTTTACATCACTATAAACACTTTATCACAGACTATTTTCTTCAAAAAAGGTAACTTGAAATATGATTTTGATCGAAATATTTACATTAAATAGAAAGTAAAAGTGCAAACATAATTTTGTAGTTGCTAATGTTTATACAGCGAGAGAGATTAAATTATACGGGAATATTTTAGTTACGTGGCAGAGGAAAGAAAACATTTCAGAATCAAAAGAGAAGATACGAGTATTGTAAAATATTTCTGTGTTACTCTAACTGGTATTCTTATATAAAGATAAGCTTCATTCGCTCTTACTAACTTTTCGATCGTTCATCAAACAAAAGCTGTCAAAGAGTGATTGGGAAACGTTATACTAAACAATTGTACAAAATACTTACGAGTCGCGAGGCGGAAAACATTTGAACACCTTGACAATGATCGTAGCATATTGAATAAAATATAATGTAATAAAACTAGATCTACACCCTTCGATCGTGAATAACACAGAACCCTCTCTCCCCACGCTGAACAAGAAGAAACAGAACAGATTCCAGGCCAGCGGTCAATGAGTAACACGTGGA